TATATATATATACTGTAGTTCATAATTTCAGTTCTCAAAAAAGAACTTGACACAAATGCCAGACCTTTTCATGTAGATCCAAAGGCACTAAGATAAAAACCACTAAAACTACAAATCTTTATCTCACACAACGCATCACCGTAATGTGTTATATAACAGTGCTTAGCATCCCTTAGTTAGAAAACGCATTTAAACAGGCAAGTTTGTTCACTGGCAGTGTTCTTTCGACTGATGGGATGAACTATGGAAAACATGCTCATTTGAAATACTGTAAATAGTTGTGTAGTTGCTCACAGTCTTGTGCAGTTCTTTCCCAGCTTAAAGCTGTTTTTTGCTTTGTAAATCGAGGGCTCCGGACACGCAATACGGGATGATGCTGACCGTGGCGAGGGGAACGGTGGCGCTCTTGCAGAAAGACAGCAGGTAGAAGAGAGCAGCCGTGTGTGTGGGAGGCTTTATGGTGTCGAAGAGATGCAGCAGAGACAGAGAGGCGACGATACAGGTGATCCTGACCTGAGCGCTGCTGCTCTTCTTGCTTTCTGTGTACAGCGGGGAGTGAAGGCCGAGTCCCAAACCAAACAGGGTGCCCATGTTCCTCAACAGGCTGGCGAACGGCGTGGTGTCCAAATGGACCCAGGCTGGATTGACGCACCACCGCTGGGCTTTCTCAAGGGTCCACAGCAGATCCACACCCAGAGCTTTGAGAAGCAGGTACAAGCCCACCGCAAAAGAGAGCAGGAACAGTGTGATGTTGAAGTAATTCTTTAGACTGGCACTGTAGATCAATTTCTGTCTGTTGAAGGCCTCGGCAACAATCATGCCTGTGAAAAACAAGAAAAAATTAATTCATTTTATTACCTCAAGACATTTTTTAAATTGTTGTGCTCCTTAACAGGTACACTACTGGTCAAAAGTTTAGAATAATTGCAATTTGTGTGTGTGTTTTCAAAAGAAGTGTCTTATTCTCGCCAAGGCTGCATTTATTTGATCTAAAATAGAGTAAAGATTGTAATATTGTGATGTACGTGTTTTCTATTTTAAAATGTAATTTATTCCTGTGACGCAAAGCTGAATTTTCAGCATCATTCCTCCAGTCTTCAGTGTCACATGATCCTTCAGAAATCATTCTAATATGCTGATTTGCTTCTCAGTTATTATCAATTATTACTGGTGCTCAATTAATTAATTTTAATGAATTTATAATGGTCCTCAATATAGTCTATGTTGAAAAAAGAAAGTTTTGCTACTTAATATTAGTGGAATCTGTGATGCATGTTTTGTAGGAATAGAAAGTTCAATGAACAGCATTAAAAAAAAAAATTATAGAAATATTTTGTAACATTAAATGTCTTTACTGTCACTTTTTATCAGTTTAATGCATCATTGCTGAATAAATTTATTTATTTTTTCTTACTTACCCCAAACTTTTGAATGGTAGTGTATCTCCAGAAAAATATTAAGCAGTAAAACATTGATAATAATAAATGTTTCCTTAGCAGCAAATCAGCATATCAGAATGATTTCTGAAGAATCATGTGACACTGAAGACTGGAGCAATGATGCTGAAATTTCAGCTTTGCATCACAACAATAAATTAAAATTTTAAATATATTAAATTAGAAAACAGATATTTTAAATGATGGTTTTCTGAGCCGCTTACCTGAAATAACTCCTGCGAAAACTTGATGTGGGAAATGAGCGGCGATGAAGACTCGAGAGAGACAAACACAGACCTGGACCGTCCAGAAGAGCGTCCAAAGTGAACCACGCAAGTATCTGATTAAAAAACAGTTAGTACATCATAAACATATTGCAGAAGCAACTATCTATTTTGAAACAAAAGCGGTGTTAAACTAGCCTGATTGTGATAAAGATTGACTTACAGGCTCTTAGACGAAGTTTTCTTCTCTTTGCTCAGCATTATGGCAAGGATTGAAGTGACCAATGTGTAGTAAACACCAGCAGCGCCCATAGCATGACCAGATGGGCTTCCTGCATCAAGAAGCAGCTATGTGATCAAAGTGCTCTTTTGATGTATGATGAAACTGGTGTTAAGTGGATTAGTATGGTACTTCTAGAGGAGATAGACGCACCTGGGCCGGTCTCACAGGTCATGGGATACTGCTCTATATGTGGCACTGAGCTGTTGATGTAGTAAGAAGTCTCATGGACCCACCAGTATGGACGTTCTCCAAACAGGATCCTTAAACAGATGAATAGAACAACATTAAAATTCAATTCATGATTTAATTTGACAGTGAACTCTTTATTGGTCCTTTTTCTTACCATTTGAAGACCAGATTGAGCCAGTCTCCTATCACAGCCACCCAGATGAGCTTGATCCCGACTGATTCTTTCAGATGGAACCAGATGGGAAAGAAGATGAAGAAGGTGTTCCTCAGATCTGCCGCAAAGGAGACGAAAAGAAACCATCCTTGGGCGTCTTTGTAATGGGTCTGCAGGTATTGGGTGCTACTCACTCCAAACCCGTGCAATGTATCCATCACAGCATTCATGTTAAGACTTTCTCTACGGCACTGTGTGTTGAAGAGCTAGTCAAGAGTGATAGTCCTCCAGCGCCTACCCTTGGTTTTTATACTAGCAGGCCCACCACCACAACGCATGGACAAAACGATCTTTGAACCTTGCACATGTGTAATAAAACACAGAGTGGAACAGAAAAAAAAAACGTCAGAGTTAAGAGCGTGTTTGTCCTGTCAGAAGAGATAACGCACAAACAAGTTCAGGAGAAAAAGGACGTAGAAAAGACAAAGCAGTGAATCATTGAACTAATCTGTGACCTCAGAAACACATCCAACCTCTGTCAACATTTGTAGCTCTGTTTCTAAATATATACAATTATATATATGTGTGTGTGTGTGTGTGTGTACTAATAAATATAAAAATGTATTTACTAATAATAAGATATATAAATATATCTATTAATATTAGAAATTTGATCAAAATCTGTCTATTTGCATGATTTATACAGCATTAGGTTATGAGTGATTCTTACCAATAAAATATTAATTTGGTACATAAAGAAAATTAATCCTAAGGTTTGCATTATGATATTATTTCCCTATATATAAAACAATTAATTCAATATATTTACACTTATAGTTACACTTT